ACACCCTATTTTCTTTTATCTTGGCGTGATATCTTTTGCAATACAATTTGAATCAAGAGAAGGCTGGGCTAGGTAACTTATGCTTGTCGACTGGTATGGCTGCATGTTCATTTGGCTGAGAGCACTTCCTTAGCTAAGTATATCAGTGGGATAAGAATTAAAGGAGACGCCAATTACCATCTCTGATCTCAAAAGCTGCAGATAAGACCAATCACCCCTTAAGGGTGATATTAAAACTCACTCTACTGAATATAAAGCATTAAAGTAGATGGCCTTTAGACAGACAAGGAAAATGAGGATGGCATTAGCTTGCATTATTCTGATCAACCGCGCCAACAAATCCAATCCTCCGTAGAAATGCTATTAGTGTCAGCCCTCTCCACCACCCCCCCCCAAAAAAAGGGAGAGGAGGGAAAAGGCTTTGTATAAAGTCCCTGAAGGAAAAGAAGCAACTAATGTCATTAATGTGTTAACAGCCTCTGGTCACTTAACAGAGTAGTTTTAATAGGCTCTAGAGGGGAAACATGTCCAGCCCTTTTCAGCCAAAGGGTAGGTTAGAGCTGTGTGTGGGTTTTGAAGATAGTGGGTTAAGTTCCTGGGGGATTTGCCTGCCTTGTTATATATTTGCAAATGTACTTTTAATAAAGCAAATGATGGCTAACTACAATTAAGTACCAAAGGTGGCTCTTTTAACAAGCACATGCCATTGCACTGATAGGTTTAATTACATTATAAAGCTCACTGGAAAACACTTCAGGAAAAAGATATAGGGGCATCACCGTTCGCAACATTAGCATATAACAAGTCACTAGTGATTTCACTTTCCTGTCATAAGTTTGCTCCTGCATTTGAATTCTGAATTACATTTCAAGTCTCTTAAAAATAGATTTTTCCTGTAAACCCCCCCCCCACCCCGTTACAAATCTCTTTACGAGAGTTTTTTTCCCCTCCTATAATAAAAGTACTATGAAATCGCCAAAGGTCTAGGCTCAGCACTGTTTAATTATTAACACTAGAGGGCTAAAAGAAAAGGTAATATCGAACAATTGAATTCTTAGAAATATGAAGCCAAGTTTTATTTTAAAAATGAAATGATATTTTCAGGTAGATGTTTTGCTTACCAAAAAAAAAAAAAGATGGCTAACTGCTGTTGACTTTTAAGGGATGACATTTAGGACAGTTCTCATTGTACTGTAGGTTTCTCCTTAGCTATGAGGGAAAAACACATTAGCATAGGAGAATGCAATGAATATTATTACCAAGGAGTGTAGTATTCCACCTCCTCAGGCTTCTAAATCCTTTATAAATAGATTTATTTATTGATTGATTGATTGATTGATTGATTGATTGGTTCGATTTATATGCCGCCCTTCTCCGGAGACTCAGGGCGGCTTACAATGCGTTAAGCAATAGCCTTCATACTTTTGTATATACTTACTTAGTAGGGCTTTCGGGGCCCCCTAAGCAGTGTTCCTTTTTATACAAAATCAGCTTATTGCCCCCACAATCCGGGTCCTCATTTTACCTACCTCGGAAGGATGGAAGGCTGAGTCAACCTTGAGCCTGGTGAGATTTGAACTTGCAGTAACTGCAGGCAGCTGGTGCTACTTAACAGCACTTTAGTCTGCTGCGCCACCAAGGCTCTTACAAAATTGTACTGCCTGTCTTCTCCTCCTGTAATGGCGTGTAGGTGTGACCTTGGGAGAGAGAAGGAAGATCCACGGACAAGGAAACAGCCTGGTAAGAGATGGTTCAGTCTGCGGGTAGGTGATAAGCATGAGAAGCATTTATGAAGGGACCTTCCCTAGTTTCTTGGGAACTAAAAATAGAGGAGGGGAGAAATACTTTCAGTCTTGTAGAATTGATGGCAGCTCTGTCAGGTACTCCAGATAAGAATAACAGAGTAACAGAGTTGGAATGGATCTTGTAAATCTTCTAGTCTAATCCCTTGCTCAAGAAATAAATACCTATAAATACCCTATACCACTTCAGACAAATGGCTGGCCAGTCTATTCTTAAAAGTCTCCATTTGAGACTGGATAGCCATTTGTCCAGTGTTGGAGCACTCACAACTTCTGGAGGAAGCTGTTCCATTGATTAATTGTTCTATCAAGAAATTTCTCCTTAGTTCTTAGGACGCTTCTCTCCTTGATTAGTTTCCATCCATTGCTTCTTGTCCTGCCTTCAGGTGCTTTGGAGAATAGCTTGACTCCCTCTTCTTTGTGACAGCCCCTTAGATATTGGAACACTACTATCATGTCACCCCTAGTCCTTCTTTTCATTAAACTAGACATACCAATTCCTGTAACCATTCTTCATGTTTTTAGATTCCAGTCCCGAATCATCTTTGTTGCTCTTCTCTGCACTCTTTCCAGAGCCTCAACATCTTTTTTATATTGTGGCAACTAAAACTGGATGCAGTATTCCAAGGGTGGTCTTACCAAGGTATTATAAAGTGGTGCTAACACTTCATGTGATCTTGATTATATCCTGTTAATGCAGTCTAGGACTGCATAGGCTTTTTGGGCAGCTGCAGTACACTGCTGGCTCATATTTAACTGATTGTCCACTAGGACTTCAAGATCCTTCTCACAGTTACTACTATAGAGCAGAATCTTGCCAGGCTGAAAGTAATTCTCCCTTTCTCTCCTTTTAGTTTACAGAAATCCAGGGAGGGTCCCTTCTGAAATGCTTCTCATGTGTTCTCCCCATCTGTGTACAGGTAGTCCTCGACTTACAACCACATTTCTTTTGCTAAGTGAGTCATTTGTTAAGTGAATTTTTTCCCCATTTTACAACCTTTCTTGCCACACTTATTAAATGAATCATTGCCGTTCTTAAGTTACTAACATGGTTGTTAAGTGAATGCTCATTGACTTTGCTTGTCAGGTCACAAAAGCGGATCACATAATCCTGGAACACTGCAAACATCATAAATATGAGTCAGTTGCAAAACATCAGAATATTGATCACATGACCATGGGGATGCTGCAATAAGTGTGAAAACTGGTCATGAGTCACTTTTTCAGTGCCATTGTAACTTTGGTCAATAAACGAACTGTTGTAAATCAAGGACTACTTGTACTGACCTGCCTCTTATCAGAATATTGCCTAACTTGTGGGTCCTCCTCTGTTTCCCAAGGTTATTCCCACATACCATTATATTTCTCTACCATCCTGTTCTCAGGATAAGAGAGGAAGGTGATTTTATAGTTTAATGTTTCAAATTACAAACAAAAATCTTAGATGCCAGCTACCTGGATATTTTTCCAGCCCCAGGCAATATTTTTAAGTGCACACAATCTATCCTGCCTCTCCCCATCCTTTTAGCTTTCCACCTGATTCTGTACTTCTGAACCAGCAAAGAGTTATGCCAGTAGCATCTGCGGTGTAAATTTATAACTGAGTGATGGTTTCTGACATTTATGTATATACAAGCTGCTACATCTTTCTCCATTCTCCCTTCCATGACAGCTCATGAAATTTCCTTGTCAGAATCTGCTATTTTCTTGCAAGAGTGGCACAGCCTGATGGATGAGAGGACCCTCCAGGAAAGGAAGGTGATGTAGAATCGTTTGAAGATTTTGAAGAAGCACTAAAAGTATCTGTCAAAGATACTTTAGATTTACAAATACTAGAACTGGTCCATGAGGCTGAAGTTTATGGCCCAGACCTGAGTTTTAAAATAATTGCTTTGGAATTCACAAGGGTCAGAAGAAAAAGCTTGGAGCAGAACTTAGAATATACTCTTACCGATCTTATATTTGCAAACAGCTATTATTAGCTTTCATGATAAAAGTCTAAGAAATGTCTTTTTTCAATTGCATTTTTAGCGCTCTCTCTCTCTTGCTCTCTTTTGAGAAAATATGGAATATTGGGAAAATTTTCCCTATGTAGTATTGTCCAGATATGGTGGGCTACAATTCCCAATATTCTTTATCAGTTGGCTTGGGATTCTAGGAGCTGTACTCCAATGAATCTAGAAAATATGAAGATTGAGTAGAGAAAGCTGTACTATATTAAGAGTTTTAATTAAAGTCTGCATTTGTCTTACTGGTTGTGAAACCAGTATGTGGGGTAATTCTGGTTCCCATGGCTAGCGATCACTACAATTTTGGCAGGCTGGATCTGGTAGCCTCACTCAAAATGCCAAATTGCACATAGACCTCATGCTGAGCAGCACTAGCTACAGCCAGGAAATTTGAGTAGCCCAAAATGATTTGCTTTCTTTTCAATCAACAAGAAACTCAAAGCTGATCTGATCCCCTTCCAGCAAAATAATGTATTACCGTATTTTAATTATTATTTCCTGGTTTGCATTAGGCTACCAGAGTTCTGCAGCTAAGCTCATCCTCTAGTGTCTGAGGCTCAAAATGGGGATCAGGAGACCTCTAAGGAGATTCATTGCCACATTTTGGTACATTGGGGGTGCATGTCTGGGTTCTCCTAACCTGCTTCTCTCCTGTGAATCTAAAGGAAAATCTCAGGAATGAGGGAGACAAGAAAGCAACCACAGCACTTTTTGAGCCCTGTGCCCTCTAAACTCTTCCCAACTTCTCCTCTTCTCCTTAACCTCATCAGAGGTCATTCGCAATCGAAGGACAAGGTCATATTTAAAACAGAGGAAAAGAACCACATAAATTTCTCCCGAGGAACAGCAACCCACCCCACAGGAGCCCGTTATGAAACAACGGGGAAGTCTAAGAAAAGAAAAAAAAAGAAAGGGCTGAAATATTCCAGCTGGTCAGATCTGCAAGCCAGACCCACAGTTACTTTGGATTAAGACCAATTCAAGATACGACGCGATGCATTACGACTTTAAGAAGAAGTGCATGATAAAGAGGAGGCGGAGGAAGAGAAGTTAACTTGCCAAGAACGTCTTGTCACCCTTCTGAAGTCCAACCGCAGCTACAGTAAAAGTTTGGATTAAGGCGGAAGCGAGCGGCCCCCCCATCCCACCTCACCCCATGGATTTTATTTCCCTTTTCCCATCATATTACTTTCCCCGCAGTTCTTTTCTCTTCGTCTCCCGGCGGAAGCGACCGGCCTTCGGCCATTAGGAGGGCAACCCTTCAACGTGCAGCCGGCTTGCTTTCAGCACCACCGTCCCTCCAGCGCTTGGCAAAAGAGCGAAGGCGCAGTCAAGTGAGGGCAAAGCGGCTGAAAGGACGGGTCGTTGTAGCGTCGGGGACTCGACAGCGCATGCTCAGTGCCACTGCCACCCGCTTTTTTTCAGGCAGGTTTGGCGGCCGGCCTGGCAACGGCGCTGGCTTGCGCAGTCCTAAAACGCCGAGCGGGATGGACTTACGCGCTCGGGCTGAGGGGCGCAGAAGTCCTCCGGCCGGCTTCGCCGCCGCTCCTCCAGCAAGTTCATGGAGGCCCGGCCCAGGCAGGCAGCCCACCTCCGTCCGCGCTTAAACTCGCTGGGCCGCTACTCAGGGGACTTCGCTCCCGGCACTCCGCCCCCTCTTCTCGATAGCCAATCCTCTTAATTTAGCCGCGGAAGGCAAAGCCTCCGTTGCCCGCGCTGCTTTTGCTTAGAGTGGAAAGGCCCGACGGGCAGCCCGGGAGCTCTCCCGGGGGCAGTTCCGTAACACCCAGAAGTATCGGGGCTAGAAGCCCAGGACGCAACTCCGGGGCAAAATGGGACAACTTGCAGCAACTAAGTCGCCAGGGCCACCTTGCCTTCATCAGTTCTCTGCAGCCAACTCACAATGGCCAATTCATCACAAGACAACTCAGCACAGGACAATTCAGCAATTCCAGTTTAATTATTTAAAATAATTAAAACATTTTGTCATTCACATATCATTTTGTGCCTCCTTTATTATCCTTTCTTCAATGATTCTGTTCCACCATTTCTTCCATAGAAGTGTAACTCTTGTCTCACATCCAGTTGTCCTGGGATGAGTTGGCCGCAATGAATTGGCCACTGCAAATTGGGTGCGATGAATTGACCTAGACCCAACTTGGCACTCCAAGAAGTGAAGAGGGGGGGCTCTCGATATCCCTGGAGTTGTCGCCAATTATTAAGGAAAATTCTGGTTCATGCATCCCGCTAAAGTATGGTTTGTTTAACTGGCTTTTTGAATGCACTACCCATGGCTGGCTTCACATCGTGCAAGTGGTATTCTATGTGTTGGTGTCTGGTGTCTTTGGCTGGGATGAAACTTTATTTTCTGCAGCCTGGGGCATAGGAAAAGGCTTTGGCTATTCACAATACAGGTAGTTCTTGTAGACCACAGTTATTATATTAATATTATTTAATTTGAGTTGAGCTCAAAGTTTCTGCTGCTGAGGAAGACAGTTGTTAAGGGAGTTTTGCCCCATTTTATAACCTTTCTTGCCACAGTTGTTAAGTGAATCATTGCAGTTCTTAAGTTAGTAACACACCTGTTAAGTTAATTTGACTTCTCCATTGACTTTGCTTGTCAGAAGGTTGTAAAAGGTGATAACGTAACTGGAGACATTGCAACTGTCACATATACCTGCCAGTTGCTAAGTGGCTGAATTTTGATTATATGATTGTGGGGATGCTGAAATAATCATGTGTGAAAAATGGTCATAAGTCACTCTTTTCCACTGTCATTGTAACTTTGAATATATATAGACAAACTAAACTTTAAAAAGAATAGTAAGAAGGAAAAAGTGGAAGAAAAAGAGGAAAGAAAAGAATATAATAAAGAAAAAGAAATATATAAAGAAATAATGTCCAACCTTCACAAGTATAAACCAGTTTAGTGGCTCTTCACCCTCTCTAAATTACCTTTTTATCTCTTCATCCCTATTCCATCCTCTTACCAATAAACAAATCCATAAAATACCATCTTTTCAGTCCTGTCAGCAGAAAGTCCATAAATGATTGCCAGAAATAATGCATATTTTAATCTTGATAAAAAAAACAACCTTATATTCCATCCTTTTATTTCTAACAGCCTTAAGGTTTAGTTCATTCAAATACTGTTTTAGAATTTGATTTCTCTTTAATTTTTTTCTTTGTCCCACAGAGTTCTTCAGGATTAAGGTTAAGATTAGGGTTCTTTTGTAAATCTTTTGTAAATTGTAAGATTCTTTTGTAAATTCAGTAAGAAAAAAATAGTCAGGTGACTCTCTTGGCTGGTCATTTTTATTTTGGCTGGTCATTTTAAATTTTGAAACCTTTTAGTAGGTCCAATGAAACATCATTTTCTAATTTTCTTGGCCTGTTGGTTGTAAATTCACTTTTAATACCATCTCTACCTTGTCAAATAAAATGTGTTATAGATCTGTCATTTCTTCAATAATATCTTTCAGACATAATCTATCTACTGAAGCAGACATCATTACTGACCCTGTTGTTGTTGTAGCTACTAATTTCCAACCCCATTATTCAAAGGTCCTTCAGTATTTTTATTGTTATAATGTTTTGCAACATTTTACAGTCTTTAAGTAAAAAAAATAGCCATCTCTAGGGTCTAGATTTTGAAATCACGAAATTGCTTATCTTATTTGTGTCTTGTAAAAACAAAATCTAATTCCCATGAGAAGTTATTTGTTTTATTATTAATTCCAAAATCTTATTGCAAAAGTTCATGTGTAATTTTTTAAAATCAAAATCTTATTTTGCTTTTTGCTGTTTATTTCAGATTCTTTAAATTTTTAAGTTTATGGGTGATCTGTCCTCTCCTTAACTTGAGAGGTTTCAAAGTACCAGTCTTCTCACCAGTTCCTTGGTGTTTGTTATTGGCTTCCATTTTTGGAACTTAAGAGCCATGTTAACTTCACCGTACTTACTCTCAAAGTCCAGATTACTAGTGTTAAGTGCATTGACATTAGCTAGCTGAAATAATATTGCTAATCCTCACTCATTAGATTCCTAATAACGTTCTTTGGAAGATTAATTGAACCACTTACCTTCAAGGAGTCTCATCTAGATGACATCCAGAGAAAAAAGTAAATTCCTAAAATTGTTGTGTAACTCTCCTGATAGATAAGAAGACGGTGGTAAATGGTAATAAAAGTAGTCCTCAAAGTCCTATTTAAAGACTGGTTGAAATTACAGCAAAACTGAAAAAAGTGACTTATGACTGTTGCAGCAGTGTTACAGGTATGTGATCAAAATTTGGCTAGTTGGCAACCAGCATGTATTTATGGTGGGTGCAGCATCTTGGAGTCTTATAACTGCAATTTGCAACCTTTCTGGAGGCTTCTGAAAAGCAAAGTCAATGGAAAACCCAGATTTGCTTAAATATTGTGTGATTTGCTTCACAACTACTGCAGAAAAGGGTATAAAATTGGACACAATGATCACATCAATTTGAGATGAAGTTCTGGTCCCGACTGTGGTTGTAAATTGAGGACAATCTCAAGTCAAAAGCTCCCAATTCAGCAAAAGAAGATTTTAAGAAAAAAAATGGTTTAAGGATGCTAACTATAAAATCACTGGATAAAAATCTAAAACATAATTCCTAATCTACAGAGAAATAAGTCTTTAGCAAGCATACCTAGTAAAACAAAGATTAAACAACATAACATTCCTTGATAAATGTTTTTACTGTTTAGTGGTACCTGTTTCCTAAAAAAATCCTCTGTCTAAATTAGTTCTGGAGTTCCTTTGATTCCAATAAATTAATGATAAAGCTGCTGTGAAGATAGGCGGTTCTCTTCCCAAGCTTGGTCTACAGCTTAGGCATTCATAATGTCCTATTCAAAATGCAGAGGTGAATGCCATTAGAGTTTCTAAGGGAGGTAGACAACCTTATTATGTCCTTTTTCTTAATCTGAATTCCACTTGGGCAACTAATGTGACTATCAAAGTCAACAATATTTTTTCTTGGTAATTCCTGTAGGAACTTTTAACTGTACAGCATGATGATACAACTCAGCAATTTTGAAATTTCAATACCAAGATTCTTTTTTCCACCATGTGGAAGATGTGAACGTTCATATATTACAAGGATCAGAAAACCTTATGTATCAACTTCCTTCATATAGATAAGGGTTTTCCAGACAGCTTTAAACAAAAGAATGTTCTGGAAAGTTTCCTCATGTAGACAAGTGTGATTCTATTTACAGTATTCATTTCAATATTTAGAGCTTGTTCAAGAATTTCAGGTACATTATTCAATGTTAAAAAAAAACTAACCTATTTTATAATACTCCCACTATATATTAAGAGAAATTAAGAGCTTTATTATATGCATGAGGAAAAATAATCTCTATTGGAATGTTGGAAACAGTATTGTGCAATAAACAATGACATTTTATACAAATTTTAACTTGTCAAAAGTAAAGCATTTTCTGCAGAAATTGTTGACCTTGAAACTTTTACAGCCCATACTTTATCTCTCCCTATTTCATTTTCATCTAACTGATTATTTCATTCTTTTTCCATATTCCAACTCACCCCAGATGTGTCTCATACACATACTGAACCTAGAAGTCTAAAACATTGTAGGAAACTCTAATTTTGTCCTAAAGACAGGAATGTTCTTGGGTACAGTGATACTTGTGGTCTTCTAATATGAAAAAAAAAATAGCAATAGCACTTAGCACTTAAACTTATATACCACTCCATAGTGCTTTACAGCACTCTCTGAGCGGTTTACAGTGTCAACATATTGTTCCCATCTATCTGTGTCCTCATTTTACACATCTTGGAAGGATGGAAGGCTGAGTCAACCTTGAGCTGGTTAGGATCGAACTCTTGACTGTGGGCAGAGTTAGCCTGCAATACTGCATTCTACTTACTGCGCCACCACGGCTCAGGAAAACATTCATGAATATTAAGAATTGCTAGCTTAAACAATAACAAATTACATCTGGATATTCCTTCCTTTTGTAGATGTTAAATATTATGCTATTACCTCTAATTCCACATCTGTTTGTGCTAAATATAGATACCTGCTACTGCTTGTATGTCATGCAGCATTCTGCTAAAACAATATGCAGCACTCGCTATAGGTCTCAACTCTAATCAGTAATGTTCTCTTGTAGTTTTCAGGTTTTCTGCATAAACTGGAATTTAGGATAGGGTTGATATTTCAAGGGTTGTCATTTTAAAAAAGAGATAAGTGTATTATACTTATTCCCATGCTCCTATCTCCATCCCACCCTCCCTTTCTTCCTTCCTCCCTCCCTCTCTCCCTCCCTCCCTTCCTTCCTTGCTTTTTCCTCCCTATCACAAAGGAGAAAAAAACTATGATTTTCAGGAAGAGTAATTTAGAATTCTGATTTGTTAGGAAAAGAATCTGGTCAGCAGAGAGTGGTTATAGTTTCCTCCACAAACA